TTGCTAAGATGTATCAAAATCTTTATGTAAAGTCGCCTTTTTTCTATTATGATTTTTCTTCGCAGATTTGACTTTTCCGCCATTGTGGGTTCACAAAAATTTATGATCTCATGTAGATGTCAGTGAAGATATTGATGACACTACATGAAATTCGATGTACCAGAAGTTACAGTTGGTCAGTGGATATTTCTTTATTAACTGTCATACTGATAATCGATGGCGCTTCGTTTCTTCACAGAAACAAGAGAGGCTCCATAAATTTCTGTCATTCACTCACAAATTTCATTTCTGCACAGTGAGTTTAGGACGGATATGTCGCTAAAATCCAGGCTCTACACTTCACTCATATCAACGAGAACTGCTATTTCGCGTCACAAACTCCACCTTGTCAAAATCGACTTTTATTTCTGGAAAGCATCATATTGTTACTTATAAATGATAAGTAGCTTAAAGAGGTAAGTGATAATTTAGACCTCTGTGAATGAGAGGCATAAAGAACATCATTTTCTAATATGTGTTCAATACAGAATATCTAACGGCTTGAAAAAAATGCTTCTCGCATGTGAAAATAGTATTCACAAGTATGTTTGCTAATTTTGAGTACCTAACATCAGTCTTTTCTTCTTTACAATAACACTACATCTCTTCGGGTTATTATATGATCTCATGTGTTATTTCGAACAGTTTGCAATTTTGATCTGATTTGATCATCTGGCTTGCAACTCTGCAGCTTGCTTCATAATATTCTGGGTGATCATTTCAGGTGATTTGGTTGTCACGGAATAACTTCTGTAAGGAAGACATTCACTAGTCTATACAGCCAGCGTATTCTTTATTAAGAGACAGAGTTTTATTTTCTTTATCCTTGTCACTGCGAGATATGTCCCGCAGTATTTTAATAGATATTTAGACTTTAATTCATCGCATCCGTTATCTGTGATGGCAGGCTCAGTTAGGTATCTAACAAACTGAGCAATAGCACCAAGTAGTGCAACAGAAAACCTAAGTGATGAACTAAAACTGACAGAAGAGGCGTTGTTGTTGATTAACTATCCTATAAAATTCATTTGGAAGATGATTAAAGTCCAAAAGAGAAATAAGAATAATTGTGAAAATGATAGAGGCGACATAAATAAGAAAGTATATTAGGCACTGGAACTTTACCAAATATGGAGGGGACTTCTGAGTTCTTTTGTGGGATTCTTAAAAAAGCAGGAATTAGGGTGATATTTAAACTTACAAACTTAACTCAGGGACCCTTTAGGTTGACTTAATTAGACAAAGTAGTAAAATTTTCAAATATCTTGCAATGACTGTGAGGTCAACTACATCAGTCATACCAACAGATTAGAGGCAATCAGACTATCAGAACATCAGAATTAAGCTAAATGCAGAATAATTGACCCCGCGAAGAAAAGTGATTTAGAAGAAAGCTCAACAATTGCACTGCATGCATTAACACACAACCACACAATAGCGTGGGAGAGAGATGAAATTTTAAAGATTAATATAAGGAGGTTTAGAGAGGAGTTGATAATTGAATCCTTGTCCATAGAATCTATACACAACACGTGCGACAGGAATGACTCATCATTTTGAGTAACTGAACCGAGTCACGTTAGTTACTGAATGGCAAGATCTCTGCAAAAACTGAAATACCTTTGACCAACCAATTTTCTTGTCAACTTTTTAACCAAATTACGTGTATCATCTAAAGCAATATATGCTGTATTAAGACTACTAATGCATCTCGTCATGGATGCGTATAGTCAAAATATCAACCAATACGTTAATGAAACTCAGGTTCTGCACATTTTTTAGCAGTTTGTAATGTACACATTTCGAGTGATGAAATTTCACTGTAGATTTCTTTGGAAACCAAATTAATCACATCACAGTATGTGCTCAGCTTGATACCATAAACTGGGTGATTTGAACTGATTCTGCCACCTCAGCTGATCTCCTCTCCAGAAAAGCAAAACTGCCTTCCAGTGTTTAGATCATATTGATATGATCGGCAAGAACTGCTGGTTTTGTACGAGTGACAGACAACCAAACAACTCAACTAATCATTGACGTACGGTTTTTTATACAACCAACATATTGATGATTTCCGACAGGAAATAACATTATGGTCATGTTTTTAATTAGGAAGATTCTGAAAAGTAATGTCATTCTTAGGTTATTATTTATTATTATTATTTTGTTCCCTTGGGTTCCTAGTGGAACATAGGGCTTCAACTGCACGCCTCCACTTGTTTCTGTCTTTTGCTGTACTTTTCACCTGCATTCATGTTAGTCCATACTGTTTCAGCTCCTCTTCACACGATCTCCTCCATGTCACCCTTGGACGTCCCACTCACCGCTTCCCTTTCGGGTTCCACTCGAGGGCCTGACGCCCAATGTCACCCAGCGGCCTTTTCAGCGATTGTCCAATCCATCTCCACTTTCTCCTGCATATTTGTTGAGCGATTGGTTCTTGTTTTGTTTGTTCCCATTCTTAGGTTACACGCATTTTATTGTTTCGCCTAAGCACACACTTGCGTCCCATTAACCTTTAGTCTAAAATATTAAATGATGGTTGACAAAAAGATAAAGACCTGGACACAAACAGCTTACAGTGCCTGGCAAAATAAAACTTATATACTAGTATTGTTTAACGATTATTCCTCAATAAGTCATTGGATTTACGTTCTCAATGGAAGATAAGGCATCGCACTCATTTATATCTTTGAGGTTCTATCTTGATCATTATGTTTAAGACGTTTGAGCAAGTTTCGTGGACCAAATTTTGAAATTATTTTAATTTTCATATCAATCAGGTTAATACAAATGTGATTGCTACATATATTCACTTTCCAATATGTGTTAAATTTGTCTGGTCAAATCTTGACCAAATTTACTCCATATCCACGAGGTATCTGGACAGTGTGCTGTAAGAATTTTGATCAATTTTAGACAAGCTCTTGAACTTTGAAGCTTCAGTATGAGTTGCGTTTCTCTTTGCACGGTAGGATTACTAGCCTTTTGTCCGAATTTCCCCCTGCACCATAATTAATATCGGCTAAAAGATATTTAGGATTGTATCCACTGGGGGCGGCACATGGGTCTTGTTCGTGGTTGGTGAGCATGCTGGTGGCACTAAATCACCGACAAACTCTACTTCATTTGGATATATTTATTGTGTGGTGACCTTTCACTGAAATACGTAGTAAATAATGCCATTGTGCATATTTCCTTGTTCAGAAGATCTTCCAAGATATTTGCACATGACAACAACCGTTTGAGAAAGATGAATTCATCTTGTCTTATCAATTCTTTGTCAGCTTGTAATTTGTACCAAAATCATACTACTTCTCAGTAATAAGCAGTATGTGTTAGATTTTTTTGAATACGTCGTAACTCCATATCCATAATTATCGTTTATTCTGCAAATTTATATCATTTAATGCATAAACACTTTAACTGGATTTTGGAATAGACTTCAAACAGTTAATTGCTATTTCCTGCCAGTTACTTCTTTAAATACCACTGTTTTTTTGAACGTTGTTTATCTAGGTCCCTTTATTTTTGACATTTGCGTTCATTCATCGTTTGTTTCTACAAAAGGATAATCCTTAACACTGTTCTGCCTTCTTTTGATGCACAGTAACAGTGCAGTTGACTCCAAACAGTCTAGATACTTCGTAATTTAAGGTTCGTAGATTCTTTATAATCAATTTACGTGTAAAATAGTGCCCTGTTGTAGAATAATCCTGTGTCCTTGAATTTACGCCTAAATGAAACCTTTGTTCTATTTCATAAGAAATTTGATTACAAAATGTCGTTCAGGATCTCTAAGATGAAATCCAGGGTTTTTCATGTCATTTCGGAAAATTCAAATATATTAGAATTACAAATAATTTGTTTGAATTGAAATATTATTTGTCCTTATGAAACCTTTGAACCGTTAATATCATATTATTTCTTTGAAAAAACTCACTAATAATCAAGTTAGCTGATTACTGCTTTATGTTGTATGCCGACATCTTCCTTCAATGTGCATCAGACTTCACAATTAATGTACATAATCTCATAATTTCGAAAATATTTATATCATGTGAACTTTGATAACACTGAGACATAGAACGGAATATGATCACTTAGTATAGTCAAAATAGGTATCGATAACCATCCAAAATGCCAAGCTATATATATGCGAATTAACGTGAATGTTTTCTGAGGTGTGTATATGTGAAACCAGGAGTTACTTCAAGTGAGTGAGCTACTGTCATATCCTCTCTGTCATTTATGTTTGAATTGAATAATTCTTGAGTTTACTCAGAGATGGATGGATGGTGTTGGTTATCGTTATGTTCGTCATAACTAGTGTGATTTATTCTTTATACATGAAGAATACTTTCGTTCAGCAGAATGTCTTTTCCAATGATTTGCAGTAGGTTTCATAAATCTAATCAAATAGGGGAGAACACGTCAATTGAACTCATTATTCACGGATGTGTTGTGGATGCGCCTGACATTCCTATTTGTAATTAGTCTAGTGTCAGTGGGTTATCTTTCAACGCTTTATGTACTGATGGTTGGTATTTTTCCCATTTTCACTTATTTCGTCATTATAAAAATCGAATTTCATGTATTATTTTGTCACAACTGCTGCGGTGTATTCGGAATGTAGTGAAACTTTTATTCACGTTTTGCAATTTGTTAAAGCATATTCCTCCCTGTCAAAACTCACAAACAACTGAAAGCATGTAATTTTATTTACCTGCCAACGTTTGTTTTTGAAAAATATAATCATGAAATCAGTGACCCTATTTACATCATATTACTGCCGTATATTTGGAAAATATAACCTTACAAGGCTTTTGTCGAGCTGCATTCATCATCTTCATTCGCTTATCATGACATTCTTTTAATTCCGTTGTCATTTTTACGTTTATTCACAGATTTCGAAATATTTCATGATGGTAGATTTAGTTGCATCCTGTGTCCTTCCGAAAATGAAGAGTCAGGAATTACGAAAACCGCTTCCCAGCTACACCACTTCGGTAAGAGTAGCACAGTCTGTCAAATAAGTCATTTTATTATTAGTTATTCATCGACACAGTGCTCATGACATTCATGACAGTCGGGCTTGTCGTGTTGTTTGCCATTGAGTAAGACTGCATTAAAGGAGATAATAAAATCTTATCTTGCATTTCAGAGAAAATATTCTCGAACTTTTCGCGAGGAATAACTATGTTGTTTCTATTTATATGTAAGTTTTCTTCACAACCTCAATGATTAAAAATTGAATTAATGATTCTTTCACTAGATGATAAGTGTAATTCATTTACACTACAGTGCCATTATTTATTTATCTAATAGATGTGGTTTTAAGACTAATAGCAAACGTTCAATTTTATCAGGGTTAAAACATACCAGTAAACCAGGCGAGGTTAGCGAGTGCGTCAATTTGGAAATGATTCTCAGATTGGAGATCTTTCCACAACTGGGACACTGACCCACAGGTTATTTGATTGACTGCTGGATAGAAGTGTTTGAATACGCAGTTGTATTATTTAACACACGTTCACTGCTATTAAGTCAAATGAGGACATTATATGTTTAAGCGTTTCGTTTTACTTTGAGGTCTAACTTAGCGTATGCTCCTCAGACATTTTTTGTCATGGAAATTAGTTTCTTCTAAGTACTAGAGATCTTGATTCTACATAAAAATGTATCCATGCATCTGAGAAATACAGAAAGACTGTCTTCAAATAACTATTTTACATCTCCGTGCTGGAAAATGCATCAGTGTGTGAAGGTAATAGTGTTTCACTATGTTCTCTATCAAATATAATGCTCATTATGATGCAACTGTGATCTGTAACATTGATCAAACTCCATTGTTTTATCTGTGGTTAAAATCTCAGATTGATCTCATTATTCAAAGATCGAGTGTAGAATGTTCTACTTAACAAATAGGAGATTTCATTACTATGAGTTATATTGAAATTATCTTGTAATGTGTCGTTTTAATTATTTGCTGGTTCAGATCAATTGTTGATGTTTGGAATTCATTTCAGATCGGTTGTTTCTATCCTAATACTTTTACTTATATTCTTCGAGAGAATTCGTTCGAATTTTTACGGTGTTCATGTAATACTTTGGATTATAGTAAGTATCTGTATTACGTTGCCCCATATACAACGATAAGAGTTTGTTTTATTCTATTTGAAAAATCAAATGACCGCATTGTTATCTGAAAAATGTCAATGGCAATGGTTATCTTTCCAATGAGTTTGCTTCTTCAGTTTCTGAAGCATGCCATTTGCGCCTCAATGACCGTCGCAACCATAATTGTTTTAGGAGGAAGAAAACTGTCTCCATAGACAACTGCAGATTCGCAAAGTAATGAGGCTGATGCAAGAATAATAAACACCTATTCAAATTTATGTATAACCTGAACATTCACAGCTGGAATCAATGTTTAACGATATTCAGTTCGATGAAGCAGTTTAATCGGGAGACATGTATAACGGAAGCCTTTCAATTATCAGTCTACATGAGATCATACTGGACACTTCCTTAACATATTGCAGTAAGACCATTTTCATACATATGCTTCGCTGAAAAGGCAGAAACACCCAACTGCTTAATTCAAATTTTAATAACACTAGGTTCCATACCAATTCATCACAAATTCATGAGGTATTTAATTAACTCCCAGTGGTATTTAGTTCTCAGTGCACTGACTGGGTGCCTCATGAGTGTATTTCCAACATACGAAGGTATCTGTTATTGACAACTTGACAAAATACCACAGCATACTGAATCCCTTGCTTTACTTTGCATTCACATCGGAAATAACTTTTACTCACAACCGAGTAATGTCCCACTCACGCTGTGGAACACGTAGGCTGCTTGTATGTGGAACAAACTGCTATTTTCTGTGGATGAGAACGATAAATTAAGGGTGGGAAATATTGCATTTGAAATGTACCATATTTGCTTACTACGCCTTCATTTATCAGATGGTCACTATTCAGCTATTGTTATTATTATTGCTTTCTTCATGCAGGTCATATTATGGTCTATGGTCTTCGCCGCTGTGATCCAAACTGTTCAGTGGAAATGTGCTTTGATATCGTTGGCTGTGACGATTCTGACTACAGTGTTGGTTGTCGTGGTCACTTTGAAACTGCCATCACTGAGTGAAAGGGGGTTCACCTTTTTCTTTCAAATATCAGTCGTCCTCGCGGTTTCAGCTTTCTCTACGAGGATTTGCTTTTACTTAATCCCAGGACAAAAACGCGTAAATTACACAAATTTCTGTTATGAAGATTTATACATATATTTATGAAATCGAACGAAATCTCTATATCTTTTTAAAATGCTCTGCTACCTTCGATTTTCTTCGTAACAGGGCTAAATAAAAAAGATAATGAAATGTCAGCTGAGCACAGCAAATCAGACCTATTAGCTGTTTTGCCTACTCAGATTCAAGCTCCCTGTCATATGTCGGAAATTAAACTTATTCGTTACGCTGGGAATGTTTAAGTCCATTACTGTCAGTAAATTGATTTCATACGAACTACTGAAATTTTGTTCTCATTCTAAGTAGCTAGTTATTTACTGAGAGTTGGTGATTATAAGCAGGTTGGTAGAAACGGCTAGTTAATTCTATGCAATGATTCGACAGACGGTGATATACTTCCCCAATTATTCATAAAATCAAGGGATTTTGATAAATCCTATTCAGCATGTAACGTTCACAGTTCTTACTCGAAAGCATTCTTAGTATTTCATATGGATTAGGAATCTGCATCACTTTATCGAAAGATATTTGAGGATATTTTGATATCTTTAAATGTGTACATGTGGGCAGTGAATATTTTATTTAGTATCGCAATATGAGAATTAACACTCATAAAGAAAACTTTTGCATATTCTTTGTGTATGTTCTCCTTGTTTTCTGCATTTCTCAATCTTAGGTATTCTGCATACTCACAGCACTTTTAATCGCAATACTCATACTCGCCGTAAGTCTTTGATTTCATCAGTGTATTCAGTACAATAACTCTGGCAATTCTATTGTGTACAGCCCATCAGGTACTCGATAATGGTAGAATGTCAGTATTTAAGAAGCTCTGTCACTGAGATTACCAGTTTGAATGCAATCAGACCATGAGTAAATAGGGTTTTGGTTATTAAGAAACTTTCATAAATCATTGATAGTTTCATTTGACGCTGATTTTCACATGTCGTGATATCTACTGTTGTTACAAAGTACAGACAGATAACAATAGGCCAATTTCCGTAGAACCTTCACTACTGATTTATGCGGTATACATCCGATGAATATCGTAAAACTCTAATTATCCAATGTGAGACGCTACAAATGCAACAATGAAGCAACATTTGGGACTAAACTAATCAACTAAACTGGTTACCTTATGATGCCTAGTGATCCTGTTGTTCACATATGTTCCCTTAACCCCAGAAAGGATAACGATACATTCGATCTTTTGCAATATGAGTGAAGTGAAATAATACTATCACAGGAGCAACGAGTGCGAATATATCTTATTAAGAACACCATTTAGAGTCCTTTACGACACAGTTATTGGTACAAAGTTGATGTTCTGGAAGTGTGTCAAGTGAAGATATATTAAACAAGTTAAATGACAAAAGACAACACTAACTAATCAAAATCTGAAAATTCATGAAACCGACAGGAACACTGTAGTCATGCGCTTACATTTCTAGATGCAGACGGAAAGTGTGAATTATTCAGACAATCATTCTACTCGAACTAGGGTCCACGTTAGCTGCTCCCAGCGCAGTTTGGATGTTGATTATGAATTTGTGAAATGTTTCCCCAGGATTTGAGGTGCGATGAGTGCTTTTAATAAAATATATTTGATTCTTGTTATGTGATTATAACAATTAACAGTATTTTACTGCGGAGCGTGAATTTCCTGAAACTTTATGGAGAGGAAAGTTTCGCTTTTTTCGCTGATACTTTACTACTTCTTTCCACTTTAGGCGATGTTTATTTGTGTCAATATGCGAAGATGGATAACGTGTTGGTTCCCGCCCAACATCATAGATTTCATTCTTGCTTTCATTCTTTGGTTCCTAATGGTAAACCTCTTCACACAAACATATGATGGCTTGGCATCATGCGGATTTAAATGGTGTGTAAACGAAGACAGCAATCAGTTATTTATGGAATAAATTCCAGATTATTTTCGTTGAACATGCATCATCGTTTCCCTGTTGTGCTTAAATATGTGATTGTGCTTGAGGTAGTAAAAACATGTATTCTCATGTGTTTACGTCTTTTCTATTCTGAAAAACCGTCAACTACATCAAATACAAAGGAGAATAATTGCCAGTATTTGTTTCACAGCAGGACAAATGATTTGTCAATTTGTGAAGGTGGCACAACTATTTTAGTTGACACCGTGAGAAAAATCACTTGGTTTTCAGTCTAGTATGGTACAAGAATGATTGAGCATCCAAGCGAAACCGAAGAATTAGTGTCGATAGTGAGAGATAATACATATTAGTTAGTGACAGTGAACGCTGAAGCGTGTCATGTAACTTTCAACCTCGAATTCAAAGAAAACTGTTATCATATGTAAGGGAAAGATTACGCTTGCCTTTTGAGGCGACCATGGGACATTTGGGCGGATTATGTTTTCCAACTTGAACTGTATACCTACTGAGTGTAATTACGTCGTGATTTATAAGGTCTTTGCATGTTAATTATTTTGCAGCCTACGTGAAATTCAGGCTGGTGGAAACCTCCATCAGCACAGTGCATCTATTTTCTCTCATTCAGCTTGTTTAAGCTCAATAAAGTATGACCTCTAGAAGTATTGTTTACTATGGAGAGTACTGAAAACATTTACGACCTTCTGATTCACATACAATGTGAGCTAATATCTAAATCAGATTATTTCCTATTGCGTGTTGAGAAATAGTCAGAAACAATAATGATAACCTAACGTGTTTGAAGTTAATAGGAAGTAGACATTAGAGTTTCTGGCAGTCTAACTTACCACGGTTAAGCAAAGTACCAAAAGTGAGCTAAAAACTAGATTTGCGGGATCCTGAAGGTAAAATTAAGAAAGTAGTTTGGTTTGACTACTGAAATAACAGTGGCGATTGATTATCTTATAAATTACATCAAAAATTAAATGGCTGAACTATTTCCGGTCTGTCGTAACTCATATATAATTAAAACATCATTTCAGTGTGAGTACCAGACACAGCCGCAATAAATCACTCTGATAATCACAGATTATGAGATAAATTGTCATGCTGGTTACTCCCGTGATAACGAAATGCACATCCACAAGTTCATTCAACAGCTGACATTTACAGACAAATAACAATGTTACGCCATTTATCTGCAAAAATTTGAGTAATAAAAGCTTCCAAATTATATCTGTTGTACAAAAGAGAACCATTGTCATTCATCAGTACAGCAGGTCGTTTGAACAAAATGCTACTTACCGTACAGCGAAGAAATAAAACTACAAGCGGAATGGCAGTTAAAATTATCAATCCAGATATCACGTAATATGTGACATAGTACGCCTTCAGATTAAGACACCTCACTTTGCATCCAACTACCACAGAAGTATAGTTAAGGCCCATTTCTAACCTCGCTGTGGAAACTGCGAGACCAGAAGACGGAGTTAATACCTGTAGTTTGCGAAAAGGATAAATTAAAGTCAAACAGTGATTATCTCGCTAAGATTCGTGTTGGATGATTACCATAATAGTAAAGATGACTTATTAAAAAACATGTGGTTTCTCTGAAATAATTCTCTAATTTTAAACATAGGCATCATAATATTAATCTGAATAACGCCGGCGTATTTAGAAAAGCAAACCAAGATTTCACTGATGGTGTTGCTGTGTAAAGTACGGATTCTTCAGCAGAACCACTGAAGTTTTATGACAAGTTGAAGTGAATTTGTGTGAATTTAAATTCTCAATAACTTTTTTGTCGACTTATTTTAATGACGTTGCAAAATCTATTCTAAATTTCCGTGTCACACATCTATAATTAGCAGTTGTGGAGTAGAGAAAATCATCACGATAAACAGTAGACTTGACGATTATTCAAATGGAGTATTCAAATTTCAGATAATTTACTGCCTTCCCTCTCTGGAGAAACATTTACGTCACCACGCTATCTCCTAGGTACTGTTGTGGCATAAAATGGTTCTAAATAAATTCAGACTACTTATTGGGCTTCAAATTTACTAATATCCCCTTAACTTGTAATTATCGGGAAAATACAGCCACTATTCATTATATTCTGAATAATTTCAGTGTCTCGTCCGCATCAGATCACGAAGCAAGCTGTCACAACAATCTTCCAACATGTTACTTTATCCAACACATTTAGGACACTATACTTTCTACCGGTAGGTCTCAAGCACCACTTTTCCAACGACTTGCGTACACTTTCGTGTATCATCTATTATATTTTGACACCCTATTTTCGAAGGAATTGATCTACCTATCTGAAACTACTTCACAAAATACGTATTTCACATTACTATATTATAAGACCAATTGTTACATCAGTCAGTAGCTAAGTTCGGAGAATGCCATATCAAATGGCATCCAACACTTCCAATGAATACTGCAACAGTGGTAAAGTTATTCACTAGATTCACACCTAATCCACTGATACAAACTGCATATTTTATTATCACGTGTTACTGTGTAAATATTTGTTTATTTGCTGTGGTCCCCTATAGTAAAGATCAAAACCACAGAAACACATGATAAATTGATTCACTTACACTCAGTGCAGCCAACAAATAGTCCACTGGGAATGCGTTTTCAAGATTGAGAGCAAGAAGCAATACCAACTGAAGGATTGATGCAATGAACCTGAAATAAATTTGACAGTTGTGGTCAGTAAATCAGTATAAGATAAATATGTATTTCAGAGTTTATTCACGAAGTGACATCAGCTATAGAACCATTGAAAGCAATGTGTACAATATAGTCGTTTTGTCCTAGTAAAGGACTTCAACAATAGGCACCCAGTACCCCGTGGGAGCCGAACCACGTGACCTTTAGGTTATGAGGCGAGCTCACAGATCACCCAACCAGAGAGAAGGAATCAAGTGGCCTGCAAATTCTAAATACTTCCACTTCGGCGCAAGTCCACTTTTTCATGTGAGGACA